ATTAAAATCTTTTTATGGACTCTTTTGCAAAATAAAGTGCTAACAATTGATAATTTGAAGAAGAGGGGGAAAATAATCATCAATAGTTGTTTGTTGGGTAAACATGCTGAGGAGATGGAGATCATTTGTTCATTCATTGTCAGTTTACTTCAGTGTTGGACTTGGGCCTTTTAAATTATTGGTTTTCAAATGCCTTTACCTACACATCATGGATAGATCAACTCTCGATTTTGTTTTACCTAAAAAAAGGGTGATGATATGGTAGAACTTTAGGACTTCAATCCCATGGGAAATTTGGTTGGAGAGAAATATGCAAATTTTTGAAGGTCTCAGTTGGATCGGGTGAAAGATAAGATTTTTAAAAATGTTTGGTTGTGGTTTTCTTATACGAAATAAGGTTTCGGAATTTCAATTATTGATGCAAATCCTGGATGTTTTAAGTTGAATATTGATGGTAGTTCTTTGGGAAACCTAGGACGTGCTGGTTTTGGTGGTGTGGTTAGAGATTATCAGGGTGCAGAGATAATAACTTATTGTGGCTCGTGTGGGATAACTACAACAAACAAAGCAAAAATGTTAGCTATGCTTCAAGGTTTAAGGCTTTTGAAGTATCGTTGTGATCAATTTGCTTGGTTATGCTTCAAGGTTTAAAGATGTTGAATGATCGTTGTAATCAATTTGCTTGGTTGGTAGAAGGGGATTCTCTCAATGTTACCATCTGAATGTTTGGATCTAATAAACTACCTTGGAGCTTGAGAAGGTTTTGGTTGTAAGCTTTCGATATTTTTCGTATTAAGGTTGTAGCTTTCAATCATGGTTTTAGGGAAGCAAATGAGATGGCAGACTCGTTTGCTAAGGCTGGAGTGTTGGCACTGTTTTTGGTGCTCAAGTACTTCTCCTTTTAATTGTTGTGTTTATTTTCTTTTCAATGTAACTATCTGGGTTGATTGAGTAATAAAGTATTGAGATATTGTCAAAAAAAAATTTGGTATTTCAAAATTTCAAGTCTAAAAAATTATAGCTGAAAAAATAGGATATTTTTTATGGGAAAAGTTTATATAGAGCCGAGACTCTAAACAATCAAATTAGAGCATATATAAAAAATTTCATTAGAAGAGGTTCTTTTGATGCTCAAATATCCTCAAATTGATCATCTCGACATCAAAATGCATGGACATGAGAAAAAAATGGTTTCAAGTTTTGGAAATAGCGTATTTTGTAACACAATTTTTTACTATTAATTTTCAAGATTTTCAAGTTTTCATAGATTTGTCAATCTACACTATTTTTAAAGATTTAAAATTTATAAATAAAAATAAAAATATTTTTTAAGGCTATCATAACGATTTTCAGCATTGAAACTGCATTTTTCGACACTATTTGAAAGTAGGCTCTAATTTGATTGTTTAGAGCTTAGGTTCAATACAAACCACACCCAAGTTTTATTAACATATGTATTTGGGCTCCATTGGTTATGGTTTCCACATGTCTCAATGGATTCTCATCCATTATTTGGAGCTGAAGTCATAAAAATCTCCACTTGCAAAGTTAATTAAAATTGGGCGAAATGTTACTAAAAGGTTAAAAAACCAATCAGTAAAATGGCAAAAAGGTACCCATCAATTGCTTAAATTTTTTAAAAGAGATATAGTTATATTGTCTAAATGTTGACAACTTTGAACAAGTAAAGGCATTTCAACAGTTTGACTCATCTTGAAAAAATAGATATACTACCATAATTATCAATACCGAACCACACTTACATGTCTTAGTAGGTTTGATTCAAAGCAAAAAAAATGATTGTTAAAAACTAGTTAAAACCAATGTTTGACACGTCCAACTAGCCGGTTTAAATCGATTCAAAAAGTCAAACAAAGTTGAGTAAAAATAATACATTATATTTTAAAAAATAATTAATTATATTTTCCATGTATTTGTTAAATATAGTCAAACTAACGATAACATATTGCCCCTGTGTCCCAACCTTAATAGGGGCAATTAAAGAATTTATGAAGGACCCAGTATCTATGCAACCAAGCATGCATATGTAGAAATGCGGGCCTCTATTGACCAAGCATAGACTTCAAAAGAAATTTTCTTGAACTTTGTGACACATCCAAGCTATCAAATTTCGCATCAAATAGTTATAAGGAATTGTAACCACATTGTATCAAAGGTAAATGGATACAAGGTAAATGGTCTCATGGTATACAATCCCTTTTTGAAAAAGTACCTGTGTGAAACAAAAATAAGAAAGGAAACTCAAAATTGTAAATTCTCGTGATTTAAAAAATGCTGGATCGGCACGGAATAGCTCGGTCTGACTTAGGAATTAGTCATCCCATACCGATTCTGGCAATATATAGGAAATTATCTGGGTCTAAAAGAAAACTGACAATTTGCTACAGTAACACGACAATTTTGCTACAGTAAAAATGACAATTCACTGATTCAGATTGATTTTTAGCCAATTCACTGTTTTTGCGGGTATTTTTTTTGACGATTCACTTTTTTTTCTGCATAGTAAAATGGCGACCTGGATCGTTGATTCACCGATCCAGACCGGGTTTTGGTGATTCCTGATCCAGGTCAACAATCCGTATTTTGAAACACTGGTAATTTCAGATCTTTTAAGTCCCTCATTGATTTTATTTGGAGTTCCGGATCTTTTGAGTTACTCACTAAATTTTGTAGAATTTTGAACCCTTACCTAAAATAAATAAATAAATAAATAATTTATATAAAGTAAAAACTTATACTATAGACGTAAGGTGCCCCTCAAGAGCCCATGTAAACATATTGTTATGATATTGCAAAACCCTCCAATTGATTATCTTGACTTTGAGTTGTATGCATATGAAAAAAGGAAAATTGATTTCAAGTTTTGATAATTGTGTATCCTGTAACGCATTATTTGAATTGTCTATTTTCAATATTTTTAAGTGTTTATAGATCTACTCGATCCGAACCATTTTTAACGCTTTCAATATCATGATTAGGGATGAAAATAATATTTTAAGCTATTATAGAGTTTTATGATACCAAAACTACGTCTTTCAACATAATTTGTAGGCATGGCTTACTTGGATTGTTTAAGGTTGGAGCCTTAAACAAACCACACCCAACAAATAAAAGTGTCGTATCTTTTCACTTTTTGAAATACGAAGCAAATTATACACAAATCTTTTTCCATTCATGCGGTTCGATTTTAGATTTTTTGAAAAGAAATTGTCTACAAAAAGACTATTTATTTTTATTACAAGAAGATCATAATTAGTCACATTCATTAGATGTGACTAATTATGATTTTCAATAACACTCATTGAAGTTTTATATGTTTTCAATAACACTCTTACAACCACTTATTTAAAAGATAAAAATGATTATGACTTCTTTATATACTTTCCCTTTTGGGATTGTTTACAAAGAGAGTGTTGAAGATGGTCTAAATCACTCGTTATCATTTTCGTTTTAAGTGGAAGATCTAACCATTACTCCCGTCATTTTCGTTTGCTTCTACACTTCAATTTATGGTTGATTTAAAAGTATTATTAGCACATCATAATTTAGTTAATCCAAGACGTTGTTCTCTTTCGTTTTTTTTGGCGGATAACACCATTATGTCTATTATCATTAACTAAAAGTTTTGAGAGTATTTTGGTTATTTTATTTTTCGTGAATAATTTTTTTTATATTTTTATTATGTGCGTCTTGATGAGAAGAACACATACTTGAAATTTCAAATGATTTGGATTTGTAGAAAAATAAATAAAATTCAAACACTACCAGATATCCGTGATCGTCAGATAAGCTTAGATTCAATCTGAGCCGTTGGGCTCATATGTTAGCTAGTAGACAAATATCAACTTTTTTCAATTTTAAAAATTAGGCTATGAGTAATGTTAAAGTGATTTGGGAAATTTCTATTTGGATTTCGGTTTTTTTATGGTCTCAAATATGGGTAAATTTATTTGAATTTGAAATTTCAATTCCACCCCATTCAATAGACTTAAATAACATTAAGAGGCAGAATTTGTTGGATTTTACCGAATTTAGTTCAAGTCAAAAGATATTATATTCATATGAGAGTATACTGTCTATTTACTCCCTTGGATAAAACCTCCTTGTAAATAATTTTAGGACGCCAAGTTTGGGGATGTAACCTTTTCAACCTGTCCCATGCCTCGATAAAAAGATAGGTTGTGTTAGATAGACTGCCGATGTAAAATTTTATCAAAACTTATCCGAGAATTCTCATAAGCCTTTACAACTTATAGGTTAACCTTAATTAAAAAAATAGTTCTTAAGTGCACCTTCCGGGAAAAATAATGTCTCACGAATAGAGACCATCCAATTTTTAAATAATAAGACCTAAATGTTGGAAAACTCACATAGCAAAGTTTTTATTTTTGGAATATTCCTCTAGTAATTCTCAAGGGCATCCCAAAATTTCAGACTAAAAAAATCCCAAGTAATTCTTCTAACAAAGGGAGCAGAAGTAAATTATGCACCTGAGGGACCGTAGTATAAAGTTCTAACTTAGCAGAGCTTCATAAAAAAATAGAAGTTAGAAATCACCCTTCTTTTCACATTCGAATTCGAAATTTTATTTTTTGACTCATTTTGGAGCCGCAATATAGACCGAAATAATCCATCCGAAATTTCGTTCCGTAGTCCAACTTCAGTTCATCTTGGTCTATTGGTGCTCCACTTTATCGTCTCTGTACATAAGGAATCTTGACTGTACTAAAATAATCAAAAAATAATGACATAAAGGAAATAACATGATAACCCTCTCATCAATAATTTGGACGGTGATTGAATGGTGCTGGCCCCACGTACTCTAGCTCAGTGACCGTCAAACCCATCAATTGGACGGTGATTAATATTATTATTTTTCCACAAAATACCATTTAACTTGTATAATTATGCGAGTCGGTTTCGTGTTGTGAAGTCTAGAGAGAAAGTCTTACTCTTGTTAAAAAAAAAAAAAAAAAAAATTAGAGAGAGAAAGAGAGAGCGAGAGAAGGAAGGGGGGGGGGAAGGCATGAGTTTGGTTTGTTATTGGCGAGCAAACTCTCGACTTCAATTTTTTTAATCTTTCTCTCTCTTAATTTACTCTAATTTTGGTGGACGGGATAATAATAAATACCGGTTTTACATGGCCATATAACTTGGACGCATTTGGTTTGAAAACCAGTTTTAGAGATAGAGAGTTTTTAGTGTGTTTTTTTAGAGAGAGAAACCGCTAAGATTGGGCCCCAGATTTCTTGCTGTTATCCGGGCGTGTTTTGAGTTGCAGAAAGAGGCGTGCGAGTTAAGGCCCGGGCTTTTCCAAGGTTTTAATTCTCGAATATCATTTTTTTTCCTTTTTCATTTTTTTGTTTTTTTTGTTTTTCTATGTTTTTGTGTAAAATTTTATATTGTCATGGATTGGTTATAAAATAAAATTACCTTTACTGAAGAGTATTTTGGCCTGAATCCCTTCAGACTCATGGATCTGAAGGGCAAGAGGTAAATTTTCGAGTGTCCTTCAAACTCATGGATCTGAAGGGAAAAAGGTGAATTTTCGGTGATTTTCTTAAATTTTGAATGATAATTACTGGATGGCTTTTTATGGAGGTTAATCGGTTATCATTTTGTCATGTGTTCGATGTGTAGATGTTTTACTGAATATTGGAGTTCTTTTTTTAATTTTCTCAGTTCTATGAGAAATTGGAACACTATAATAGCTCATTTTATTTTTAAATACGAAATTTAGGGTAAAATAGACATTAATTAGGTGAGTCGAGGATAATGTGGGGAAATTTGGTGAGTTGTTCATTTGAAAAGATTCAAATTTCAGAATAGTTTTTTTTTTCTCAATTTTGCAGGCCTCAAATTGAAGCTTTACGATCACGAGTCTGAAACAGGGGTTTTAAGGAACAGATTTCTTTTCAAGAAACCAAAGGAAAACCTCGTATTCCCTCTATTTTCTGGGGAAGAAATTTGTATTTCTAGTATCGTCAAGAGGCCTTCAAATTAGGGTTTTGAGAATGGGTCGAATAGGTCTGGTGAAAAGGGGCGTTAATGGAGAAGAGAAGGTAATGACAGATGACACAAAGTTTAAAAAGGAAGCATTGAGCTGGAAGAAGATGGAGTATCGATTGGTGAAATACGATGCTTTGCCTGATTATTTGAGAGACAATGAGTTCATACTGGATTATTACAGGTGTGAATGGCCATTGAAAGAGGCATGCTTCAGCATCTTCTCTTGGCATAACGAGACGCTCAATATCTGGACGTATGCTCTCTCTCTCTACTGAGTTTGAAATTTTCGATAAACTTCTTTTAACTAACTTTCCCATTTGTTTTTTGCGTTTATGAAATTTGGAAAAATGGTTAACTTTTTCTTAACTATTTTCTCCATTTTTGTAATCTATTAGTTGGGGCAAAATCGTTATACTTTTTTTTTTTCATTCTCTTTATTTTTCTTGGAATTTTAATTTTCCATTCTCGTTCCTCTTTAGTCTCTCTACGAAATTTGGAAAATAGTAAATTCTCAGAAATGTTTTTTTCATTCTGTCTTTAAGTTATTCAGTCCTTTTGCACATGAAATTCATAATGTGCTGAAATTACAGAAATTTCAACTGTTGAACTTTCGAAATTACTGAAATTTTGATTAGTGTTCAACTATTTGGCCGAGTATGGACTCCACCCTTGGCCCGGACAAGTACCCAGATATAACAAGGGTATATTAAAATAAGAAAAAAGAAATAAAATTTATATAAATTCGTGGGATCTATGCGTAGAAATTATATATATAATTTGGATATGCTTCACACTGACTTGAGAGTTTTTCTTCTATTTTTGTATTGGGATTGTATTTTCATCTGGAGTTTTTTTTTTAAAATGTCCCCAATTTCTTTTGAAGTCCATGTTTTCCATATTTTGATTGGCTTAATTGGATTCCTTATGTTATTTCTAGATTTTTTTCTACTTCCAAGTTTAGTCGGGCTGGGGTTGGCTCTTAAGGCCCGACCTAGTTTTAAAAGCATTGATTTTGATATTTCCTTTGTTCGGTAATTATGCAGGCATTTAATAGGCTTTCTTCTTTTCCTGGCGTTAACAGTAATTAACGTGCTTGGAATGCCTACAGTTTTGGACATAATTTACGGCTTTTCCAGGTTTGGTTTTATGCTTAATTTATGCAAATTTAGTCCCATTTTTTTTGGCCTTTTTTCTTCTTTTTTTGTGAATTTACAGTAATACCTTCTTCTTCTTATATTTTGTGATTTTGTCCATTTTTCAGATCTGTCCCATCAGTTCTTAGCGCAAATATCTCCAGCTATTACTTCCAGGTAATTTTTTTATTTGATCAAAATTTAGTGAGGTTTAATTTGTCATAAAAAAATGATCTTTAATTTACGCATATGATTTCGCCAAGGCCTATTTAGGAATAAAATTACAATTGTCGTGTGATTTGCTGGGAAAGGACTAATTCAATTGTTGATAAAATTTTAGTGAGGTTTATTTTTTTTATAAAATTATATTGAGGGTAATTCATCATTAATTTTCCCAAGGCTTATTACAGAGTAAACTTCCAATTATTGAGTGTTTAATTGGGAAAGATCTAATTTAAAAGTGGTATCTTAGATGATTTAATTACAGAATATAGACATCAAGACTCCATATTTACAATACAGCCGCGTGAATCATACAAATTTAATTGGCATTTTGTGAAGGATGTAGTTTCTAGGCTTTATGGAGAGAAAAACTAAATCGTCGGCTTGAAAGTTGGTTTGAAAAACACTTCAGGTATGGGAAATCCTTATTACTGGTATTTAAATTTATAGCTAAAAAATGATATCGGTATCGGGATTTGTGAACACTTGAAAATGGACAGTCTAGATAATACATTTTAAATACACTAATTTTTAGGATTTGAAATCCTAATTTTTCCACATCCATTGTGTTTGTGGCTGACGTGATCGATTGGAAACTTGTCCAATAGCGGAACTACACTTTAGGTGAGATTTATGTTACGGATTTACTATTTTTTGTTTATAATCCCTATTCTAACCGTTTTCCTTCCGTTAACCATGGCCCTAGGGAATAAAGGAAAAATGGGGAAAATGAGTGTCTTTATGCTGGCGAATCACTAAAGTTATTTGGGCAGTTTCGACTTGTTTAGCGTGCGGTTTGTGTAGAGCCTAAGCTTAAAACAATCAAATCAGAGCCTACCTTCAAATAGTATTAAGAAATGTGGTTTCAATACTAAAAATCTTTGTGATAGCTTTAAAATATGTTTTCATATATTTTTTTAAATTTTAAAGCATAAAAAATAGTGTAGATCGATAAATTTATGAAAACTTGAAAAATCTAAAAAACTAACAGTCAAAAAATGCGTTACAATATACGTTCTTTCCAAATCTTGAAATCCTTTTTTTTTTTTTCGCATATCTATGCATCTTGATGTCGAGATGATCACTTTGAAGATATTTGGGTATCAAGATAACTTCCTTTAGAGAAAGTTTTTAGGTAGACTCTAATTTGATTGATTAGAACCTCGGGCTCTATACAAACTTTTACCCTTACCCTTGTTTTATATTTAAAAATAAAAATATTTCAAGATTCTTTTGGCTTGAAAAGTATGGCCACCATTTCGCATGTTCTCTTATCAAAATTGGAAACGCATTAATTTGAAAGTGATTGCTTCACGTGATTGGTACTAGGAAGTTTGGGAAAAGTATATAATACACTAGAGGTGTAGAGTATGCATGGTCAATGGAACGCAAACATGCATCTTTCGATGATGCACGGTGGAGATTGGCTATAGTTAATGCCGCAAATTCTCCCTCATTTGGAATGGACGGTGGATGCATGTGGTGGATTATATATGCAACCGGTAGGGTTAGGTGTGTCGCAGGGCACAGTTAATTTTTGTGCGTCCCCATTCTAAATTTGAAAAAGTTTATATGAGGATGGCAGGAGAGTTGCCCGATTGGCCAAGCGCAAAAGAATATTTTGAACTTTGTGAGCACCACATGCAATCAAATTTAAACTATAAGTAATGCCAAATGATTTCATACTCCCGCAAGAGTATTCTATCCATTTATTCGTCTGGGGTAAAAGTCAATGTAGGAATAACTTTAGGATCCCAAAACGATGTAACCTCTTTAATCCATAGAACAACCTCACTAAATTTTTTTTTCAAAATTGCATTTTCCATGCACTTTGAAATAATTAATTTCTTGAGATCGAACATAAACTGTCCATTTTAAAAAAGTGGGGCTAAGTATTAGAAAACTAAAAATTCAAAATTTTCTTTTTTGGAAAATAAAATAATTATATAGGATCTAAAAATTTCAGTTGAAAAAATCCTCCTAACTAAAGCTTCTAATGTACCAGTTGCTCATGCACTCATGATCAATAATGATTTCCTTTATGCCAAATGTAAAGGGTCTGCGGCCGTTTGAAAAGAAAAAGTAAAAAAGAGTTTGTAATATACATGCACTTGTAAAAGATCTTGCAAGTTGTCACAATTGTGTATCCCCGTGAAAAGAAAGGGAAAAGGCCATAGATACAATTTTTCTTACTTTCAAGCTCCCTCCCATTGTCCCAAGACTAACAGTTTCAAGAGAGAAAATAAGAGAGAGAGTGTCAATTTACTAGGGATACTAACTCACGGCTTTATTGATACCTAATAGTACACCTCAAGTTGTCGAATGTGCACCATGATTTATATGGTCATGGTAACGGTTTTGAAACCCAAAATTACCCATCCAGATCGACGATCAAAAGATGGGGAATCGGTTGGGACATAATCAGATCTAGATGGTATGGGTCCCAGCAAGTTCCCCCCTAGAACAATACCTTTTTAATGATTTCTTTTTCTTAATTTTATCTAATGCTTTATTAGATTTCCTAAATCCCCACGTTCCCTATTTTAAACGTTTATTTCTTTTATTTTTAACATGTTTTTGGATAACTGATTTGGACTGATCCGAATTGCCGATCCAATAATTCCGCATGAGTCTACGGGGCCAACGATCCGCCCCATTGAACCGGTTTTGAAACACTGCCACAAATCGTGTTATTATGACATCACACTCTCCCATCATCATCACCATCCGTTCTATTCATGAGACGTTGGTGAACCTTCCAACCGCCATTGAGTTAATGATATACTTTTCTTTCTTTTATTTGGATCATATAACAAATGTATTCAATGAACTAGCTCCATTCCGGGAATTGTCAATTCGCGTGAGTTACTCGATCCGAGTAGCTTCGAGTTGTGTGTGCAACTTGGAGAATATTACAAAAAAAAAAAAAATTTATTTTTTAAAAAGATGTAGAAATTTCTCTTGTGATTTTCACGTTTTTGATGGTGCATGAGTTGCCATAAATGCTCTGCTCTTTATATATATATATATATATAACTTTTAAAGTGTTCGGGAAATCTGTTTTTCTAAATCTATTTTTCCCTATTAAAGCTTATTTTAACTTCATTTTATTTTACTTTTTGTACCTTTTTTTCAGATTTTTTTTATTTTTTTTGTTTTTAAGGCATTTTTGGCCTTGCGCAAAACATTTGTGAGTCCACTCTGACTCGCTCGAGCAACACAGCCAAATCCCTCCTTGGCCAAGCCGAGTTTCATAATCTTGAACTAACGTATACCATAGAAAACTTCCTAAGATTTGTGTTTCTTCACAGGAATTTACCGTGGGCAAAAGCCAACACCACACTGAATCGGGCGACCTATCCACCACAAACCCAACTCCACAATGGCCCATGCTAGTCTTCCTATGTGGAGCCATGACCTGCCTCCTTTGCAGCAGCATAAGCCATCTTCTCGCCTGCCACTCTCGGCACCTCAACCTCTTTCTCTGGCGCCTCGACTACTCAGGCATCGCGCTCATGATCGTAACCTCATTCATAGCTCCAATTTATTACGCATTCCATTGCCACCCCATCTATCGCTTCTTCTACCTCTCCACTATCACTGGACTTGCAGTCTTAACATCTATCACCCTCTTCGCACCATCCCTCTCCCGTGCAGAATTCCGACCTTTCAGGGCCGCTCTCTTCCTTGCCATGGGTTTCTCAGGTGTGATTCCTGCCGTTCATGTGTTGATCATGCATTGGGATAAGGAGGGGTGCATGGTGGCCCTGTCTTATGAGGTGTTGATGGCTCTGTTCTATGCCGGGGGAACTGCATTTTACGTTTCGAGAGTGCCCGAGAGGTGGAGGCCTGGCACCTTTGATCTCGCGGGTCACAGCCATCAGATCTTTCATTTGTTTGTGATGGGCGGGGCGATCACACACTATGCAGCTGTGCTGGTGCTTCAAGGCTTGCAATCAAAATTGAAGTGTCAGTGATTTTATGTACATGTAAGGTATGTATAGGTAGGAAATTGATACCCAACCTATTAAGAGCAAGGTGAGGGGAGTGTTGGGGTTCTTGGAGGGTTCTGAGATTGATTTAGATTGCTTTGATGGGTTTGTAATTTGATTCTACAGTGTTGCTCCACACATGGTCGTTTCTGCTGAAGTCCTCTAAGTGTGGGATTGGGGATATTATTTGTTCACGACATTTTTGACAATAGAAATTGTTGAAAAAAAATTGAGAGGTGGAATGTAAATTTTCTCAGTGTGTTTGTTGTTTGTTGTATGGAGCCATTTGGACCCACACTTATGTTGTATTGAGATCAAGGTTGTAAAGAAATTGGTGGTTCGATTCGGAATCGATGGAGTCAAACGGGGACTCAGGGGCACCAGCCCGAGTCTTTCTGTAATCAGGCAAGTCTTCATTTTTTTGGTTTTATGAATCGCAAGGGACAAATATTAATTTATTTCACTTCATAAAAATCTCTCAAATTTGTTCCAATGCATTTGTATCTTGTTGATCTGCAATAGCTCTAAACAAACTTTTCCATTCAAGACCCACATTCTATGAAATCTCAAGATAAAAATTCTTTGTTTTTTTGGTCCTGATTTTTGAAAACCAATCCACATTTCTATTGATTACTCATTATATTCACCACTAAGTTTTTTGAAATTTTTTTCAATATGATCCTTTTGGATCCCTCTAACAAATACAAATTATAATTTGTTGGATTGCAACCATATTTGAAAAGATTTGAAGTCAAAATTTTAGGACCTTTTTTCACACAAAATAAAAAATATTCATTTTTTGCAGTTAATATTTTACCAAATCTGTTCAAATTTCTCCAAAGATGTTTCTAAGATATTGATATAGAAAATACCTTAAAACCCATTTTTTGAATCAGAACGAAAAATTTCAAATATCGGTTTTTGTTTTCTTTTTTACTAATTTTTCTGCCAGTTTCTTCTCAAAATGTTTCTTGATTTTAGTTTTTTATTTTGTTTTGATTGAAAGATTCAAGGGAAATTATTGTTAATATACCTTAATTTTAAGAAAATCGCAAAAAAACCCAACTTCCTAAAACCTCATCCACACATTTTTTTCCCAATTTTTGGCATTTTCTGGACAAATATATCTCGCCCAGACCCTTTTTTCCAATTTTTGGCATTTTTTGGATGGAAATACCCTTTTACAATAGTCTTTCTACCGTAATGCATTGCAACCATTACGGTAAATAAAATACCGTTGTAAATAGAGATAGAATTATGGTACTTCTAGTACCGTAATAACTTAAACATCTATTACAGTAATAACATAGAGTATCACGGTAATTAAAATACCGTAATACTTTAAAGTAGTATTACTGTAATTTAAATACCGTAATATTGCCCGACTCAACACGAAAGATTTTCTACTCTCTCGAGCCTACTATTTATTTACTCCCTCGACAAAAATCCACGCTAGCTGTAAAAATTTGAGATTTGAAAAAGTACAGTTTGTGTGGATTTTTGTCGAGGGAGTAAATAAATAGTAGGCTAGAGAGAGTAAAAAATCTTTCGTGTTGAGTTGGGCAATATTACGGTATTTTAATTACAGTAATACTACTTTAAAGTATTACGGTATTTTAATTACCGTAATACTCTATGTTATTTCGGTAATTAAAGTACCGTAATAGATGTTTATGCTATTACGGTACTAGAAGTACAATAATTCTATCTCTATTTACAACATTATTTTAATTACCGTAATGGTCGCAATACATTACCGTAGAAAGACTACCATAAGGGTATTTTCATCATAAAATATAGAAAATTGGGAAAAAGGGTTTGGGCGAGGTTTTGGGAAGTTTGGGGTTTTTTTTTGTGATTTTCTTAAACTTAAAGTATATTAGCAATAATTTCTCAAGATTCTATTGAATGAAGAAAATATTTCATTTATTATTTTATGTGTTTCCTTTTTGTTTTGGGAAAGATATATATGCTTCCCTTACAACATAGGAGTTATATCCGCTCCCTACCATCCAGCTGTCCAATTTTGATCAAGAGAGCCACTCATCGTTTGATCTTAGATCCAATGTCACAAAGTATTTTTTTTTTAGTTTTTTATAAAAATTATATAAATATAAAATTTGGTACGTGCCATCTTCTCATTGGGGCGCACCTATAAAAAAATATTAAAAATAATTTTTTGATAAAATTATTGCGAGTTCAATAGAGGAATATCCAAAATTTGGTGTCAAAATAGTTTATAGGAAAAAATAAAAAATAAAATAGTATAGAGACGTGATATTATGATTGGAGCAATCTTAGCCCTCCATTTAGAATGAATGGTTGGATAAGGGAGAGGATAGAACTTCTATGCTGTAGGGAAAGCATAGAAAGCTTGCCCTTTGGTTTTTAGATAACCGAGACCGAGCTATTTGGAAAACTTTTCATGCGTACTCTCGGATCTTGAAGATTCAATAGCAAGGACAAATTTGTTATTTAAAAAATGTTGAAACATTGGTATAATTGTAATAACGCAAAAAATTTGGGAATGAACTTTGCGAGGATATGCATGGAAATTATCAAAGGGTGTGGTTTGTTTAAGGTAAAGTAAGGCGGACCTTCAAATAGTGCCAAAATATTATTGTTTCAATGTAATTTTTTTTTTTATGATGCTTGGAAGTTTATTTCCATTGCCAATTATAAAATTTAAAGCTTAAAAAATAATGTAGATTGAGCAAATCTATGAACATTTGAAAATCTTGAAAATTGATGGTATGGATAATACATTACAAGACGCATAGTTTTCAATACTTAAAATCTATTTTTTTTGCATGTCCATACATCTTGAAGTCGAGATAATCAAATTGAGGTTTTTTCAACATCAAAATCACCCCTTCTAGTACATTTTTGAAGTGCGCCTTAACTAGATTGTTTAAGACCTCACCCTTGTATAAACTTTTCCTTTTTTTTAATCCAAGACAATGACTTCTTTTTCACTCAATGATATTCTGGTGCTTGGTTGTCCTTGGCCCGATTCCTCAGTACCAAAATCGAATTAATATTAATTTTGAAATTTACTCATATACCAACATTTCATTATAGAGCGTAGGCTCTAAACAATCGAATCAGAGCCTACTTTCAAATACTGTCGAGAAATGGGGTTTGAATATTGAAAATCTTTGTGCTAGCCTTAAAATATATTTTCATCATATTTATAAAGTTTAAAGCTTAAAAAATAATGTAGATCTATAAAAATCTTGAAACTTGATGGTCCAAAAATATATTACAAAATACAGTATTTCCAAAACTTGAAATCAATTTTTTTTCTCATGCCTATGCATCTTGATGTCGAGATGATCAATTTGAGGATATTTGAGCATCAAAACCAGCTCTTCGAGTGAAAATTTTGATGCAGGCTCTAATTTGATTGTTTAGAGCCTCGGCTCTATATAAACTTTTCGCATTCATTTATTGCTATTTGCAATTTTGGATGTGGGTTGGTTTTTGTGGAATGCAAGATTCAAGAGTGTTCAAAGTTAAGTCAATATTCTCCCCCTTGTTTGGACATGCAAACACTACTAAGTTGTGATAGTACAAAAGAATCCCCAAACATTGGGTAAAAAGCAAGATCAAGAAGAAATATGAGGGAATAAACCCAAGTTTAGGGGTGATCACCCTTCTTACACAAGTCCACAACTATTTTATGCCATATATTATACAAAAGTGCATTAAAATACACAAACCTATTTTAAATCCCAGCCGTTGGTTGAAAGTTGAAAAGTTGAAAATTTTAAAATCCCAACCGTCCGTTTCTAACCTATGCAGCACTAGGACCATTGGCCACCCCTTCTTTCACCTTCTTGTAAGTGTATTTCCTTGCCACATAAATATAGAATCCAAAGTTAATCAAGTTTAGTGCTGTTAAACACCAATAGAAATAATCCAACCTAGCCATGTTTAAGTTATTGTTAAACCAGCTACCATGCCGTCCTAATCGGCTCCCCTTATCAATTACCGATATGACAAATGAACTAAGGAAGCTCCCAACCCCAATAACACTCAAGTAAAGAGCCATCCCTTGGCTTCTCATGGAGTCTGGCATTTGGGTATAAAAAAATTCTTGAATTCCTACGAGGGCAAAAACGTCTGTGATCCCGAGCAAGAAGAATTGTGGGACCAGCCAAAACACACTCATCAGGTGATGCGGTGCGACATGGAGCCTCCTCGTCTCGACAAGTGCCGCGACCCCGGTCGTCGATATAGAGAGGAACAAGCCAATCCCTATTCTTTGGGTTAGGGTTAGGGTTAGGGTTAGGTTTAGGGTTTCTTTGGATTTTTTGTGAAAACAGTAATCATATATGATGGAGAATAAGAAGCCAGTGAAGGCACTAACTGCTATGAGGGATGCAGCTGGGATTTTGAAATTGTGGAACACACTTCTGTCCATGGTGGCTCCTTGTTTTATGAAGAAGGTGGTGCTTTGGGCTATGGTTATGCCAAGGGCCAGGCATGTGGTCCATATAGGGACCATGCGCATGACTAGTTTTGTTTCTTCTACTTGGGTGAGGGTGCACAGGGTCCACGGATTTGAGTCCTTGAGATCAATTGACGAGTCTTTGATGGCTGCTTTATCCAAGAACCTGCAGTTTTAATAAGGGAAAAATCAGTTTTAGTGGGAGAGATTCAGTGTTGCAAAGGGATTCCTCCACTATTTAGGCTAACCTCATTCACAAATACTTTTTGGACCATAAATTTTATGAAAGTAACCTTTTCAACTTAGTTAAGGCAAAAAACAGGGAAATTTAGGTTTTAACCCCAACTTACATAACACCTTTCACTAAAAATTCAGTTTTCTATGCTCCACGGGACATATTGTGCATCTACTCCCTCAGTCAAAATAACTACTCTAAACCATTTTTTTTCAATCTAAAATTTTGATAACCACCTAAAACCCACTAATATTTGAAGCTTGGGTTTTCTAACACTCAGATCATACCTCCAGTAATTGGACGGTATTGGTTCGATTTAGATACATTATTTTTTCAAGTACATAAATGGTACAATTTAAAATTATTTTTTATTGAGGTTAGCCTAATTTGTTATATCCCTAAATTTGGGATCCTAAACTTAGGATCCTTACTTGAGTTTTACCCGAGGTAGTAAATAGTCTCAAGGGAGTATGAAATCTCTTGACTATACATAATGGCATAGTTTTTTTGCGATGATATGGACAATCATCGCCCTATTTCATGGTTTGAAATAAGGGATTGTCTACAAAGAGACGATTTGAAATAAAGGATTGTCTACCAAGAGACCATTTTTCTTTTGTATAAGGAGGTCACAATCATTCTTACCCCTTAGATTTCAAAATGGGTCGTTGTAAGACTGTCATTGGTTAGACAAAAAGTTCCACAAAAAAAAAAAAATCCCAAATTTTACGATTCACCCCAAACCATACAATTTGAAATCAAATGAGTGAGAACAGTTGTAACCTCCTTCTATAGAAAAAACTAAAAAATACCTTTGTAGATAATCATTTTAAATAAATAATATAGAAGTCATTACTTCTTGTGAGAGGTGTATTTGTTAATGTTAAGAGAAGGGGGTATGGAGAGGGATAACTTGTACATAAAGAGTTATTCAAGATACATGGACTTTCTTAAAAATGTATAGAGAGTGGATATTACCTAAAACTGTACACACACACAGAGAGAGAGAGAGAGAGAGAGAGAGAGAGAGGAGGTATATTACTTAAATGTGCGTTAAGTGTAGTGTGTGTGTTGTAGTAGTGGGTGGGAGTAGAGAGAGTACTACCTAACGTAGGTGTTGG